GGGAATTTTCCCAACAATGGTAAGTTCATTTACTTTTTTCCATTACTTATGAAATTGATTTATTTGTTTATATGTTTTATTGATGTTAATATCTCCCCACTTTCCTTGCAGCTCTTCTTCATCGAGCATGTTCCACAATTACGAAATGCAATTTTGTATTCTGCACCACCTCCAGAGGATGACCCTTTGCCAATGAATTTTCCTCTTATGTGCGAGTGGAGAAAAATTATGAATAAACATATCCTTAGACGCACTTATGATAAGAAGTCTAAATACCTAGATATTCTGGGTAGATTGACAATAGATGATGTAAGTTTTTTTTTTTAATTGATAAAATGTTTTATGTTTTATGTTTTATTTTGTTTCTTTGTTAGTGACTTAGTAGTTGGTTTTATTGTAGGTTCATTGGCAGCCTTATAAGCGTCTAGATGCTGATTTTATACCACATGCTTATGAAGGACAGATGAAATATGCAATATCAAGGACAGTGTTGATGTGCTTTGACACTGGTGTTTACCACAGGCCTAATTTATCTCGTTCCAATGCAATTTGACATTCTAGTTGAGAGAGAAATTGCATTGCACGATGAAATTAATTTGCATGTCATCAAACATCATCATGGGCCTAAGGGTAAGGATTTCACAAAGTATAACATCTAACACTGGCAAAAAGCGTGCAAATTATGATGAGATGTTCAAAGAATAGGAGCGGCGCACTACTGGAAATTATTGAATTTCCGACCACCTGAAAGTGATCTTAAATCAAGTTGAAAGCAAAAAGTGGTCAGAAATAACAACAAGGGTTTTTTCGGATACCAAAAGTGGTCGGAACAAGGTTTTTAACTCGATTTAAGATCACTTTCAGGTGGTTCGAAATTTCAGAATTTCCAGTAGTGGCGGGACCTTTGTTGTAAATATTAAAGTCAGAATGTGGAATGGGATGAGGTTTCCTAAGGGAATTTGGGATGAGATTTCCTAAGGGAACTTGGGATGAGGTTTCCTAAGGGAACTTGGGATGAAGTTTGAATAAGACAAATGCATTAAATGCTTGGGGCATAGGTTTGTAAAGGGGAAAAACATGGGCATAGGTTTTATTCAAGGGAAAAGCTAGAGATGAGGTTTTGGGGCATAGGTTTTGCTCGGGGAAATTATCAGGAGAAGTTTTCTTGCATTGCAAGTTCCTAGACATTTAATATAATATTAAATGCTTAAGAATTCTCTAGACTTTTTGGTTGCTATAAATAGGCAACATCCTTCATTCATTTGCATCATCCCATTTGAGAATTCCCAGTAGCAGTAGAGAGAAAATAGAGAGTTATATTTGTAATTCCTATTGTTTTATCCTTTTGCCAATACAGAAAAAATTCTTCTTCAATTTGCCTTTGCTCTGTGTATGATTTATTCTAAATCTTACACTAGAATTTATTCTCAATTTTTCCAGTCCAAGTTGCTATTGTAAATTTGGTGTTGTGAACCCGTTTCGATCCTAAGTGGTATCAGAGCCTCAGGTTGGTTCATAGATATATCTTTTTGTATTGTTTATGTTAGAATAAATACTGGTAAATTCTCAAGGCCGGTATTATTCTATTATACAATACTATTTAGATATATTGTTAAGAATTTGAATCAAGAACACCACTTACAATGGCGGCAAAGTACGAGATTGAAAAGTTCAAAGGGAACAATTTCTCTTTGTGGAAAATGAGAATGAAAGTAGTTCTCAGGAAAGATAACTGCGTAGCAGCAATTGAAGAAAGACCGGCCGATTTCACTGACGGTGCGAAGTGGACAGAAATGGATAGCAACGCTATTGCCAATCTGCACTTAGCATTTGCTGATGAAGTTTTGTCAAGTGTCGCGGAAAAAGGTACGGCAAAAGAGGTATGGGATACTCTCATAAATTTGTATGAGGCCAAATCACTACACAACAAGATCTTCTTAAAGAGGAAATTATACACTCTCAGGATGATGGAGACATCCTCCGTAACTGAGCACATCAATACTCTCAACACTCTATTTTCACAACTCTCGGCGTTGAGTTATAAAATAGAAGCGAATGAACGTGCTGAAATCTTACTCCAAAGTCTACCGGATTCATACGATCAACTCATTATCAATTTAGTCAACAACAAGGAGGTACTTGTCTTCCATGATATTGCAGCTGCGGTTCTTGAAGAAGAAAGTCGACGCAAAAACAAAGAAGACAAAGTTGGAATTTCACAACAATCTCAGGCGTTGACAGTGACGAGAGGAAGATCAATGGTGCCTGGCTCCAGTGGGAGTCACAACTGAGGTAGATCAAAGTCAAGGGGTAAGAAGAATGTCAAGCGTTTTCACTGTGGCAAAAAGGGGCACTACAAGAATGAGTGTTGGCAACTCAAGAAGGATGAGACCAAAGGCAAAAATCCCGAGACATCAAATGCTCAGGGATGTGTTGTGAGTACATTGGCTGAATGCGAAGTTTTATTTGGTGAAGCAGCAACAATTGTTGAAGGCAGAAAAAGTCTAGTTGATGTCTGGCTAATGGACTCAGGAGCAACATGGCATATGACCTCACGGAAAGAATGGTTTCATGAATATGAACCTGTCTCTGGAGGATCTGTGTTCATGGGAGACTACCATGCCTTAGAGATTGCTGGCTTAGGTACTATCAAACTAAAAATGTTTGATGGTACGGTTCGCACTATCCAAGAGGTATGACACGTGAAGGGCCTGAAGAAAAATATATTGTCTTTAGGACAATTAGATAGCCGTGAATGTAAAATTCACATTCAGGATGGGATCATCAATGTAATCAAGGGCGCGCTTGTTGTGATGAAAGCTGAAAAGATAGCAGCCAATCTATACATGCTTAAAGGAGAAACACAACTACAAGGAGAAGCAGTCATTGCAGCAGACAATCTTATAGAGGAATCAACGGTGATGTGGCATCAAAAACTTGGCTACATGTCGGAACGAGGTCTAAAGATTCCAGGGTTAACAAAGGTATCATTACCTTTTTGTGAGCATTGTGTTACAATTAAGCAGCATAGATTGAAGTTCGAGAACTCTAAAGCAAGGAGCAAGGCTATCTTGGAGCTAATCCACTTCGATGTTTGGCAAGCACCAGTTATATCCCTAGGAGGTGCGAAGTATTTTGTATCCTTCATCGACGACTACTCTAGGAGATGTTGGGTGTATCCAATCAAGTGGAAGGCGGATGTATTTGAAGTTTTCAAATTCTTCAAAGCGCGGGTGGAACTTGAATCATAGAAACGGATCAAGTTTTTGAGGCCGGATAATGGTGGAGAATACACTTGTGATGAATTTGATAAATTCTGTTTGCAATAAGGTATCAAGCGACAGCTCACAGTGGCGTATACTCCACAACAAAATGGAGTGGCAGAGCGGATGAACAGAACCTTGTTGGAAAGAACAAGGGCAATGTTGAGGACTGCAAATTTGGCAAATTCATTTTGGGCTGAAGCAGTCAAGACCGCCTGTTATGTGATCAATCGGTCACCATCAATAGCAATTGATTTGAAAACGCCAATGGAAATGTGGACAGGTAAGCCATCTAGTTATTCTCACTTACATATATTTGGGAGTCCGGCATATGTGATATACAGCGCTCAAGAAACATCAAAACTTGATCCAAAATCAAGAAAATGTGTTTTCTTGGGGTATGCTGATGGAGTGAAGGGGTATCGCCTGTGGGATCCCACTGCCCACAAGGTTATCATCAGCAGGGATGTTCTATTTGTAGAAGGGAAGATACAAGAAGGTGAAAGCACTGGGAATGAGAAACCAGTGACAACTACAGTACAAGTTGAGGGAAGGAAGGAAGAAGAAATTCTAGTTTCCCCTAAGGCAACAATAGAGCATGATGAACAAGAGCAAGATGAGTCTTCAACTTAAGAAGTTCGACGATCAACTCGGGAGAGGAAGCAACCAGCTTGGCACTCAGATTATTCTATGGAGGGAAATGTTGCATACTGTCTACTAACAGAAGATGATGAGCCTTTAACTTACCAAGAGGCTATGAAAGGTTCAGATGCATCTCTATGGATGACAGCAATGCAAGAAGAAATTGAAGCTCTCCATAAGAATAAAACATGGGAACTTGTCCCGTTACCACGAGGAAGGAAGGCTATTGGAAACAAATGGGTCTATAAGATCAAACGAGATAGCAACAACCAAGTGGAACGGTATCGTGCTCGATTAGTTGTGAAAGGATTTGCTCAGAAATAAGGAGTTGACTTCAACGAGATATTTTCTCCTGTTGTACGACTTATAACAATTCGAGCAGTCCTAGCAATGTGTGATGTGTATGACTTGTATCTTGAGCAGTTGGACGTGAAAACTGCGTTTCTACATGGAGAACTTGAAGATTAATTTTTATGATCCAACAAGAAGGTTTTGAAGAAGAAGGAAAAGGGAACTTGGTTTGCAGGTTGACCAAATCTCTATACGGTCTCAAACAGGCGCTGAGATGTTGGTATAAGAGATTTGATTCATTCATTCTGAGCCTTGGATACAACAGGTTTAATTCCGATCCTTGCGCGTATTGCAAGAAATTTGATGATAATCAGTTTATCATCTTGCTGTTGTATGTTGACGACATGTTGGTAGTAGGCCCCAACAATGATCGTATCATGGAGATGAAGGCTCAACTGCCTAGGGAATTTGAAATAAAGGACTTTGGGACCCGCAAACAAGATTCTAGGGATGCAAATTTACCGAGACAGAAATAATAGGAAGATTTGGCTCTCTCAGAAGAATTATCTGAAGAAAATCTTGCGGCGCTTCAACATGCAAGATTGTAAGTCAATTTCTACCCCTCTTTCTATTAATTTCAAGTTATCCTCAAGTATGAATCCTAGCAACGAAGCAGAGAGGATGGAGATGTCTCGGGTACTGTATGCATCAGCAGTGGGTAGTTTAATGTTTGCTATGATCTGCACTAGACCAGACATTGCATAGGCAGTGGGAGCGGTCAGTCGATACATGGCGAATTCTGGTAGAGAGCATTGGGGTGCTGTGAAGAGGATCCTTAGATATATCAAGGGTACCTCAGATATTGCATTGTGTTATGGAGGATCAGACTTCTTCATTAAAGGCTATGTTGATTCAGATTATGCAGGTAATCTTGATTGTAGTAAATCCACCACGGGTTATGTGTTTACTCTTACTGGCAGAGCAGTAAGCTGGGTTTCGAAGTTGCAATCGGTTTTGGCAACTTCAACGACGGAAGCAGAATATATTGCGGCTACTCAAGCTAGTAAAGAGGCAATATGGTTGCAAATGCTATTGGAGGAGCTCGGGCACAAGTTAGAGAAAATGACTCTATTTTGTGACAATCAGAGCACTTTGTACCTGACAAAGAATCCAGCATTTCATTCCAAGATGAAACACATACGAGTTCAGTATCACTTTGTTCGTGAGAATGTGGAAGAAGGAAGTGTGGATATGCAAAAAATCCATACTAAAGATAACCTGGCAGATATGTTAACAAAGCCTGTTACCAAAAATAAATTCATATGGTGTAGATCCTCAATTGGCCTAACAGGAATGCAAGCAGTAGGGAATTGGCAAAAAGGATGGAGACCCACATTATGACTTTAAGTGGGAGATTTGTAAATATTAAATTCAGAATGTGGAATGGGATGAGGTTTCCTAACGGAATTTGGGATGAGATTTCCTAAGGGAACTTGGGATGAGGTTTCCTAAGGGAACTTGGGATGAAGTTTGAATAAGACAAATGCATTAAATGCTTGGGGCATAGGTTTGTAAAGGGGAAAAACATGGGCATAGGTTTTATTCAAGGGAAAAGCTAGAGATGAGGTTTTGGGGCATAGGTTTTGCTTGGGGAAATTATCAGGAGAAGTTTTCTTGCTTGGCAAGTTCCTAGGCATTTAATATAATATTAAATGCTTAAGAATTCTCTAGACTTTTTGGTTGCTATAAATAGGCAACATCCTTCATTCATTTGCATCATCCCATTCGAGAATTTCCAGTAGCATAGCAAATTCAATAGAGAGAAAATAGAGAGTTATATTTGTAATTCCTATTGTATTATCCTTTTGCCAATACAGAAAAAAAATTTCTTCAATATGCCTTTGCTCTGTGTATGATTTATTCTAAATCTTACACTAGAATTTATTCGCAATATTTCCAGTCCAAGTTGCTATTGTAAATTTGGTGTTGTGAACCCGTTTCGATCCTAACATTTGTGTTCTTAACCGTGATGGTAAGTTGGGTTGAATATTTTACATTATCTTTTATCTATTTATTACAAGTTGATTTTCATTTTATATGTCTAGCAATGGACCATGGTGGAGGGGCCTATCCGAAGATACGGAGCTTGGATTTGTACAGGGTCCTCCCCTGTCAACTGAAATCTCCTCCGAGGATGAAGATGAGGTCGAGGATGAGCCCGCCATTGTATCCGAGTATCTGTCACTTTCGACGCCGAGCTTCCGGGTTTGATCTTCATTAGCTCGATTGCTTTGTTCCTTCTCTTATAACCATATATTTCGTACTCATTTTTCAATTTGTTGCAGATATGGACGAGCCCCCTAAGTCTTGTGAGGAGATTGTTCGCCAATTGAAGTCTCGTGCTCCTGCTTCCAAAAGACAAAAGACTGGCGAAAGTAGCCGGGCACCTCCTACGCCACTAGACTCAAGGCCGAGCTTAGCCTCCATGATTGAGGTATAAATTTTTCTCCTTACACTCCCCGTTATTGTTTAACTTTTCTCTCATTCCACTTAATTTTCACACATGGTCTTGTTAGTGTTGTCGCTCTGGACAACGCTTTGAAAGCTACTCAGGCTCGTTTAGAGGTCGAGAGGAAGGCCCGATCTGAACTGGAAATGAGGTTGGAGATGCAGGAGAGCCAATTGAGGGCATTGGAGGCAAAGCAAAATGAGTTACAACGAGGCTAGGGAGCATGAGGAGGCTCTTTCCTTTGCGGTGTCACATTACCGGAGCTCCAAGGCCTTCAAAAAAGACGTGGAGGACTACACCACTGCCCATACGGAGGAGCTTGTTACTAGTTGGATTCCCACCAATGCTGGTAGGGAGCGCATAGCAGCGGAGGGGGTGTTGATGTATGATGTGGGTCAGTACGCGATGCAGCGTGACATATACGCGGTTAAAATGGTTAAAATGCTTCACACTTTCAAGCTTAGATCATTCAATGGGTCGAGACCTGACTTGGAATTCATTATGATGTTACTTTCTTGCTTTTCGACACTTGAGAAGGTTATCATTATTCGCTCAGTGAAGTTTGATTCCAATAATAAGTTTAAAATTATGCCAAAGCTTTTAAATTTTCATCGTGCATCAAAGAAAGCAAAAATAGTTTACATATAAACATCTTATTATATATTTATTGAATTTATATGCATCTCTTTGATTCACAAGTTTAATATTTTTAATGTACTAATTATTGGCTCTAGTATCCTTACTAGTTGAATCTTTTAGCACACAACCTTTTTTTGGTTTTGAATTAATCTTATGTTGCTAGCTAGTTATCTACAAATATGCCAAAGGGAATTGTAAGTGTACAAATGATACACATTAAAACCCTTTTATGTTAGCTAATTTAATTGTCAAAATAATTAGATTTTATTTTGAAATTATCATTTGAACCGTGGACCGTCTCCTATCAAAATGTATTTCTTTATCTTCTACAACATGAGTTTATTCGGAGGTGTTCGAAGTTATGAAGAAAATACTCATTATGAATATGATTGTTAGTCAAGCTTGAAGAAATTAATCAAGTGGTCTTGGTTAATTGGTGTTAATAAAGGAATTTATCTTTGCATGGATTTGTTACAGTTTGGCATTGAAGTGGTTAGTGAAAAGTGTGGTGTGTATTATATTAGAAAATTAAAGTATGGTTTGATGAGTGGATGAAGTTAGTATGGAAGGTCAGCTTACGCATGGAATGAGGCATTCAAATTAAATATGTGGCTATGGTTATTTGAAAGCTTTGGAATGCTAATAATGTCGATCAAGTAGGATTAATTTATTACTATAAAAGGAAGCCATCTAAATGAAGAAAGTTGCTGAATTGAGTATTGATATTTTGAGTGAAAGACATTCTAGAAAGCTACTGTATTAATCTCCATTATTATTATATTATTTCTTGAGGATTTCTGTCTGAGCTGCATAGTCAGTACCTGGTACAGCTGAAGCTTTGGTTGAAGATCGTCACGGCATGCACGTACAATCCTGAGTAGATGTTAGGAAGGTGTAGTAGTGGTAAAGGCTGAGTGCCATTTGTACTTACCTCGTGTAATACTTCTTGGTGAACATCTATATTGGATTGGGCAGACGTGGGTTGCCCCGCAGACGTAGGAGAAGCGCTCCGAACTGCGTGATCAATCTCTGAGTACTTGTTTTATTTTTATGCATTTATATTTCGTTATTTATGTTCATTAAATAAATTAATTAATTGATAATGTAATATCTCTTCTAAAACAAGTAGAACATTAAAGGTATAATTGAATTCAAGATTTACGGTGCAATTTCAAGAATGAAGCTATTTTGTAGTGCTTCGTAAAAAAATAAGAATTTTTATTTTCAATAATGATCGACATAATGGCATCATTCCTCCTACATGAATTGTGTAGAATGCATAGAATAAAATGCAAAAACATGTACATGAAAAGTTTTAGTAACATCATATTGCTTCAAATCCCTTCTTTATACGTGATATAAAGACTATTTAAGTCTAGTATGATAAGAAACATAGCCTAATAAATTGTACGTAATAAGCCAATATACTCAAATTATTAGTATAACATAGTAACAAAATGCAATTCATTTCCATCGCGAATTGGGTCTAGCTAGTAGCGAATTTGCTAATTGCTTGTATGGCTAGGTATGTTGGATCAATAGTGCAATACTCGTTTGTGTCACTTTTATAGAGAGCAAAATAGGATTATGGAATACAAATATATTCCTCCATACTGTAAGTGTGACACTCCGAAATCCAAATTCAACTAAGGGGTTAATTGAGTAATTAATCCTATTTCAATTTGTAATTTAATTCCTTAAATTTCTAAAATTTAATAGTTGGGGACTAGTAATTGACTAGTCAACCCCAAAGTCGAAGTTGTACATTGAGCTTTGTAAGGAGTTCCCTTGTTCCTTACACTTCCTTATGTTAGTAAGGGTATTCTTGACCTTTCACTTGTTGTTGTTATTGTAACCTAACCTAGTAGACCACCTTTATTCTCTCCTTACACTTTTCTAAAAATCTAGCTCCACCCTCTCTCTAAAAGGTGAGTAGCTTTTCTTCCAAGCCAAGTTGTAGCCTTGCCAAAACTTCAACAGTTGCTTCCAAGATTCAACCTTTCATATATTTGGGCATCTAGGAGGGTAAGATCTAAGTTCATCTTGTGTTTTTGGTTTTATCTAAGGTGTCTTTTCTTAAAGATAGGATCTTTATGATCTTTTGGTATGTTCTTGAAGTGGGTTTGGAAGGTGAGCCTAGTGAGGAGCTTGTTGAGGTGTAAAGTGAACTCTTTAGTCTACAAGAGGTAACTCATGCTCTACAAAACCTATTTTGCTTACCTATATGTGAATATTTCTTGGATTCTACATGTGTTTTGCTATGAAATGTGAGTGTTGATGCATGATCTTGTGAAAATGCATATCTAGAGCTTGTGTTTAGGGTTCTTTTGTGCCATTGCTTGGCATTTCCTTTGATTCAAGTCATTTTGTTGTATTTGGTGAGATTTGGCATGTTTTGGACTTGAATTTGAGTTTGGAGATGAAAATCCGCGAAGTGTTGTATTGTGGTACAGGGATGTACCCGCGGGCGGAACGGCGGCTAGGCGTCTAACCCGCCGCCCACCCGCGGTCAGAACCGCGGGTAGAGGCCTACCCGTGTGCCCACCCGCGTGTACACTATGTTGGTTGTTGGGGGATTTGTTCCCCGTGATTCATTTGCTCGGTATTTGGTCTTTGGACTTCCCGATGTTCTTTTTTGGAACTATTTGAGTGTCTTCTTGATGTTTCGTATGTCTAGAACTATATGGTAGGATTCCATGTAGGTTTTGGTGTCTTGAATAGTGCTAAGTGTTCAACATTGTGTTTCGTTGAACCGTGATGAGTCTTATGTGTTCTTAGGAACTACGTTTGGTTTACCCGTTTGATAAGCATGCTAGTTCGGTGTTTAAATGCTAGCGTGTGTGTTGTTTGTACCTTCCTATTGGTTGATGATAACTTGTGTTATCCATCGTTGTTGTTGTTGGACTGTGATCCATTCCTTGATTGAGTATGGTTTTGTGACACCCCAAAAATCCAAATCCAATTTAGGGATTAATTAAGTAATTAATCCTATTTCAATTTGTAATTTAATTCCTTAAATTCCTGAAATTTAATAGTTGGGGACTAGTAATTGACTAGTCGACCCTAAAGTCAAAGTTGTACCTTGAGCTTTGTAAGGAGTTCCCTTGTTCCTTACACTTCCTTATGTTAGTAAGGGTATTCTTGACCTTTCACTTGTTGGTAATGTAACCTAACCTAGTAAGACCACCTTCATTCTTTCCTTACACTTTTCTAAAAATATAGCTTCACATTCTCTCTAAAAGGTGAGTAGCTTTTCTTCCAAGCCAAGTTGGAACCTTGCCAAAACTTCAAGAGTTGCTTCCAAGATTCAACCTTTCTTATATTTGGGCATCTAGGAGGGTAAGATCTAAGTTCATCTTGTATTTTTGGTTTTATCTAAGGTGTCTTTTCTTAAAGATAGGATCTTTATGATCTTTTGGTATGTTATTGAAGTGGGTTTGGAAGGTGAGCCTAGTGAGGAGCTTGTTGAGGTGTATAGTGAACTCTTTAGTCTACAAGAGGTAACTCATGCTCTACAAAACCTATTTTACTTACCTATATGTGAATATTTCTTTGATTCTACATGTGTTTTGCTATGAAATGTGAGTGTTGATGCATGATCTTGTGAAAATGCAAATCTAGAGCTTGTGTTTAGGGTTCATTTGTGCCATTGCTTGGCATTTCCTTTGATTCAAGTCATTTTGTTGTATTTGGTGAGATTTGGCATGTTTTGGACTTGAATTTGAGTTTGGAGATGAAAATCCGCAAAGTGTTATATTGTGGTACAGGGATGTACCCGTGGGCGGAACGGCGGCTAGGCGTCCAACCCGCCTCCCACCCGCGGGCGGAACCGCGGGTAGAGGCAAACCCGTGGGCCCACCCGCGGTTACACTATGTTGGTTGTTGGGGGATTTGTTCCCCGTGATTCTTTTGACTCGGTATTTGGTCTTTGGACTTCCCAATATTCTTTTGTGGAACTATTTGAGTGTCTTCTTGATGTTTCGTACGTCTAGAACTATATGGTAGGATTCCATGTAGGTTTTGGTGTCTTGAGTCGTGCTAAGTGTTCAACACTGTGTTTCGTTGAACCATGATGAGTCTTGTGTGTTCTTAGGAACTACGTTTGGTTTACCCGTTTGATAAGCATGCTAGTTCGGTGTTTAAATGCTAGCGTGTGTGTTGTTTGTACCTTCCTATTGGTTGATGATAACTTGTGTTATTCATCGTTGTTGTTGTTGTTGGACTGTGATCCATTCCTTGACTGAGTATGGTTTTATGACACCCCAAAAATCCAAATCCAATTAAGGGATTAATTAAGTAATTAATCCTATTTCAATTTGTAATTTAATTCCTTAAATTCCTGAAATTTAATAGTTACGGACTAGTAATTGACTAGTCGACCCTAAAGTCAAAGTTGTACCTTGAGCTTTGTAAGGAGTTCCCTTGTTCCTTACACTTCCTTATGTTAGTAAGGGTATTCTTGACCTTTCACTTGTGGTTGGTAATGTAACCTAACCTAGTAAGACCACCATCATTCTTTCCTTACACTTTTCTAAAAATCTAGCTTCACATTCTCTCTAAAAGGTGAGTAGCTTTTCTTCCATGCCAAGTTGGAACCTTGCCAAAACTTCAAGAGTTGCTTCCAAGATTCAACCTTTCATATATTTGGGCATCTAGGAGGGTCAGATCTAAGTTCATCTTGTGTTTTTGGTTTTATCTAAGGTGTCTTTTCTTAAAGATAGGATCTTTATGATCTTTTGGTATGTTCTTGAAGTGGGTTTGGAAGGTAAGCCTAGTGAGGAGCTTGTTGAGGTGTAAAGTGAAGTCTTTAGTCTACATGAGGTAACCCATGCTCTACAAAACCTATTTTGCTTACCTCTATGTGATTTCTTTGATTCTACATGTGATTTTGGTATGAAATGTGAGTGTTGATGCATGGTCTTGTGAAAATGCATATCTAGAGCTTGTGTTTAGGGTTCATTTGTGCCATTGCTTGGCATTTCCTTTGATTCAATTAATTTTGTTGTATTTTGTGAGATTTGGCATGTTTTGGACTTGAATTTGAGTTTGGAGATGAAAATCTGCAAAGTGTGTATTGTGGTACAGGGATGTACCCGCCAGCGGAACGGCGGGTAGGAGGCCCACCCGGCGCCAACCCGCGGGGTACATTGGCGGGGAAGCCTGTACCCGCGGGTAGAGGCCTACCCGTGGGCCCACCCGCGGGTACAATATGGTGGATGTTGGGGGATTTGTTCCCCGTGATTCTTTTGACACGGTATTTGGTCTTTTGACTTCCCGATGTTCTTTTGTGGAACTATTTGAGTGTCTTCTTGATGTTTCGTATGTCTAAAACTATATGGTAGGATTCCATGTAGGTTTTGGTGTCTTGAATCGTGCTAAGTGTTCTACATTGTGTTTCGTTGAACCGTGATGAGTCTTGTGTGTTCTTCGGAACTACGATTGGTTTACCCGTTTAATAAGCATGCTAGTTCGGTGTTTAAATGCTAGCGTCCGTGTTGGTTGATGATAACTTCCTATTGGTTGATGATAACTTGTGTTATTTATCGTTGTTGTTGTTGGACTGTGATCCATTCCTTGATTGAGTATGGTTTCATATCTTCGTTGTGATCCGTTGATTGATTCCTGTTGAGGTGTGATGTGTGTGTGACTTTACTTGGATTGCACGATTAGTGGTATGGGACACTAGTCACCAAGGTATTGCAGCGGTCCTCGTGGTGGTCGTGACGTGATTATGGAGTTTGTAACCTTTGTGTAAGGTTCACTTATTTCTTGGGAGGCATGTGTTGCCGTGTGTGTGTACGGTACCCTCGTGTACTATGAAATTGGTGGTCTCGTTGGCGGTCATTGGCGGATGGGGACGGCGGTCCTCGGTGGAAAAAGGTTGGACTTGGTTGTACAGGGCTCCTGGAGGTAATGGTTGGAAGAAGATATAAGGTTGGGGGTAGCCATAAGGTTGGAACCGGGCATAAGGAAGGCATATCAACTCGTGATGCGTGATGTCACGAGGGCTTGTGTAGCCGTTGTTGTGAGTTCTTCTCTTGTGACGTGTGTAGTCACAAAGGCATGTGTTGCCATCGGTCTTGTCTTTATCCTTTTGAGTTGTTGTTGTCCTTTGTGGTTTTGGGATGTGTTCCCGTATCCTTGTTGAGAGTGTTGAGTCTTGTGTTGACTATTACTCTTGGTTTTGCACTTATATATACGTATTCCGTTTCGAAAATGGCTTTACAAATGTATATCTTACCTATGTATGTTATTTCACATGTATTGGTGGGCTACCAGCATTATTCGCTGACCGGGTGTCGTTCCATGTTTTATTGTGTTCTTTCAGGTGATGTCTAGTGCTTGCTAGTGTAGCTTCTCCCGCTTGTTTTATGGCCTGTGTGCCGGTTTAGTTGTAGACCTTTGAGACTATGGATTAGTTGTAAACAATGCAGACATTGCCGTAGCATTCATCCTTTTTGGTGAACGTGGCTGTGTATGTTGTTTAGCTCAGTTATCTGCATGTTTAAGGCTTTTAAATAGCTTGTTTTTAGGGGGCACACTATTGAACATACAGTACAAAGAGATGCATAAGATTAAGATTATTTTTTTATGAAAACAATTTATGATTTTGTAGAGGCACACAAAAAAAAAAAAATCGTAAAAATTCGTGTACGTCTAATTTTTAAACTTCGTAATGAATTGGAGTAAACTATCCAATTGTGATCAATGACAACCTTCAGGATTCCAGAAAAGCAAACAAGTAGCACCTTGATAGATTGCATATCAAACCTCCACCCGTTAAATAGGCTAAACTTCAAAGTCAATTTTTGTGTTAAAGACACACTACTATAAGCTCCTCCAAAAGTTTTTTTTTTTTTTTTAAACAAACAAACAATCA